GGTGCGGGTGCGCCATGCGGACGCTGCCGCTGGGGCCTTCGGTGAAGCTTCCTATGGGACCACGAGGCGTGTGAAAGGTGTGCCGAATTGAATGCGGGTACGCTCTGCGGACGCTGCCACTGGGGCCTTCCTGTAGGGCCACGAATCGTGTGAGGGGTGTGCCGAATTGGGTGCGGGTGCGCCATGCGGACGCTGCCGCTGGGGCCCTCGGTGGAGCTCCCTGTGGGGCCACGAAATGTGTGAGTCGTGACCGAATTGGGTGCGGGTGCGCCATGCGGACGCTGCCGCTGGGGCATTCGAGGGGTGTGCCGACACGGTGAGCATGCGGAGGGCAGAAGCAAGGATGGGATGAGGGAGGATGAAGCGGGAGGAGGTCGGTGAGGGCGCGGGGCGCTGTCTCTCTTCACAGCGAGGACCCAGCACCAAAGTGTGGTTCGGAGCAAGAGAAGCCGCGATGAACATCAGCTCAGGTCGTGGCCACGGCCGGTGGCGCAACCGCCGCCGTCGTCGTGGTCGTGGTCCGTGGCCCTCGTGACCCTCGTGGTCCTCGTGCTCTTCGTCGCCGCCGTCGGCGTGGCCCTCGTCGTCCTCGCCGTCGTTGGTCCGTGGCGGGGCGAGGCGGGGCGCGCCCCGCGGGACCACAGGGCCCTCTCGGCCTCCGCCGCGACGCCGGCCGGGGGCGCGAGGAGCCAGTCGGTGCCTCCCCGCCCGCTTCACGGGGGAGGGCCACGGGGGAGAGAGCGCGAGATCGAGGGAGGGAGGGGGCGCGGAGGAGGCGGCGCAGGAGGAGGGCGCCCGAGGAGGACGATGAGGAGGGGGACGACGAGGAGGAGGAAGATTGTATTGGTACCGTCCACATTACAGTAGTATCAGTACTTGGAGGTGCATCCATGTGCGGTGTTCGACTGCGTTGGTGGGGCATATGTGTCAGCATTGTTTGCCCCGCCCAACGGTACGAACAAGGGCCAGTTTCGCACCGCCTTTGTTACCACTCGACGAACTCGCACCATGTCGCTCATTCAAGCTCGCAAGTGCATGCGCCGATAAACAACAAATGCCACGGTGGATATTGCGTGACTACCTGGTGGACCTCAAACCGTGAGTATAGGTAACACAAAGACGTCTGATAGCGCCTGTTGTAAAAATCCGTGCGCCCCCTGGCCTACTAAAGAAAACATCGCACGTACAAACATAACATAAGAACACGTTTTGGCATCTGACAGCCCGACGTTTCTTTCATGGGGGCGGGGTCGATGCAACTAGAGGAGATGAGGGCGAGGATTGGTGGGGGGCGATCGGGAGACATGAGTGGGGGACGGGCAATATCTGACCAATTCAGGGCAATAAGCAACGCCGACATAGCTGGGGGGAGGTGGACGCACACGCACTTCGCATAGGGCCGCGCGGTTATGAAGGATTTCTCCTCCCCCACCCCCACACGTATTTCTCGACCAACGGCCCCCCAACCCCTACCCCTACCCCTACCCCTACCGCTACCCATACCCCTACCCCTACACCTACCCCTACAGCCTACCGCTACCCCTACCCCCTACCCCCTACCCCTACCCCTACCTCTACCCCTACCTCTACCCCCTACCCCCTACCCCTACCTCTACCCCTTACCCCCTACCCCTACCCGTATCTTCAAATTATGGTTGTTATGTCCCTTGTTATGTCAGCTAGTATGTCCCCTGGCATGTCCCTGGCATGTCCCTTGGTCCCTTGGATGTCCTCTGATGTGTCCCTTGTCGCTCTGCGTGCAAGCTCATGCCATGACCGCCTTCCCAGCAAGCCTGTCCGATCCCCCATGTGTCCACCCTCCGCCACTTTGGGCTCAACTCTATCATCTTGTGGCACCTCGGGCATGTGGAGGTTGTTGGTGGATGGCCCTGGGGCTGGAGCAGGCGACGGTGCTGCAAGAGCTGCAGCCCCACCAGCAGCTGCTGCCGCCGCCCTGGCTCCTGCCGCCCCCGCGCCAGCACCAGCTGGGCGCGGGCGCGGCCGCGGCGGCCGCGGCCGTGGGCGCGCCCGCGGCAGGGCAGCAGCCGCTCCAGGGGCGGGCCACGGTCGCGGCGCGCCAGGCAGGCCGAAGGAGCTCGTCCACAGAGCTCGGATCCGCGCCGCCATGCACAAATTTCAGGCTTGGCGGGCACGGGCTGCCCTGAGGAACACGGGCAGCTCCTTCGCGCGGGCGGTCTCGAGCACAAGTTTCGGGTGCTCCGCTGTTGACGCCAAGGACTGTGGAGCCAGCCCGCCAACCGTCCTGCGGCCGATGCCGCCCAGTCAGACATGCCCTGGGCCATGGATCAGATTCTGCAAATGCGTGAGATTTACTGAATGACCAGGTGCGGGCGCAGGGCAAGTCTGATTGGGCGGCATTGGCATCATGTCGTGGTTGCGGGTTGGCTGTGGTCCACAGGAAGCCGTGTTGAGGACCAGTGAGCTCGAGGCCGCTGGTTTGATCATCGCAGTGGACGTGAGGAGGACGTCCAAGAAGGATTGCTCCAGGGCCGCAGTGTCGCACGTGCTGTCCCAGGCCACAGGCGTGCGCGACTTCATCGCCTCAGCGCCTCCTGCTGAGGCAGGCATGCTGATCACTGCGACAATGGACGACGCTGAGATGTGGCTTCGTTCTGCGCCCAATGACGTTCAGCGACCTGCTGCTGCTGATGATATGCCCAACCCTGGCGTAGACAAGCACGAGTCCAAGCGTGGCGCGAATAAGCGCCGTTGTGTCATGAACCTTTCGCAGACAGTTCACATGATTCCTTTGTTTTCGAGGGCTTCGTTCTCGACCATGGCCTGTGAGATAGTAACGCCTGCTGTGCCCATCCCGAGGGGGAATTTCGGAACGATCTACGACAGGTGGAGGAGGTGGAGTATTTTCCCTACCAGAGGTTCTTGCTTTGATCGTGCTGATGTGTGCGGTCCTGTCGTTGATGCCGTTGAAAGTAAGTTGGTGTTTTTTTCCAAGGACGCACACGTATGCAATGGCTTACTGCAGGGACAGGTTGAACGGTCGGCGATCTTGTCCCAGGGCACGCCACACTCGTTCACTGTGATTGGCATTCAGTGTTTCGCGCACCAGCTGGTTTTGTCGATGAGGCCGAACTTTGAGCACCAGTCAGACCCGATAACAGCGATGACGCGAGCTGGTCACCTGTGGCAGTTGGCTCGATTTCGGGATCGTTTCCAGACCCAGGTTGATAAGATTGCGAACGCAGCAGTGTTTCGCGATGTCTTTGATGAGTCTGATCAGATACGTGGGTGGAAGGCGAAAACACGAGGAATCATTGCGATGACCAGGCCTGCTCGCGATTTAGACAGCACTGACCTTGAGTTTGTTGTCATGGTTCTGAACTCCGATCCAGATGATGAGCTCATCGTGCATCGGCATCATCCTGGGTGCACCTGCGGTGGAAGAATGCACTTCCATAACACTGTCAAGAGAGCGCTTGATATGTTATTCTCAGCTGGCTGCCCCGTATGTTTGATGTATAGGTTCAAAGGTTTCGAGCAAACGAGTTGTTGGATGCTTAGGGGGATGCTTCTCTTCAAGATTCTGCCTCGGTGTTTGCACGCCATGTGTGATGGTGAATCGCTGGATGCTGCGGAGGCTCAGGCCGCAGTTGCTGCGGCGGCAGGGGACATCAACCACTCGGCGAACAACAGCATCAGGGCGAAGAAGCTCACTGCCTTCATAGACGCAGACCTGATGAACAGGTCATTGCACATTGCCGCCATCTGCAACTCGCCGTTCCAGGTCTACCTGAACACCCTGTTCAAAGCGGACCAGGCCAGGCAGCAGTTCGTGAGATTGCAAGAGCTTCAGCCGCCAACGCACCCGCATTACAGCCCCTCTGATCACGCTGAGCGCTTCGAGTTGGCCTCGAAGACGGCTCGCGACCATGTCAGGAAGTTCTTGGACGGCACCAACGCTTTGGCCTTACAGCGTGGCATCGCAGATATGTTGTTCGACAGCACGTCCAGCGGCTGGCAGGATGGAGGATGGACCGACGACCAGTTCTTCCATGCATCTGTGAAGCTCATTTCGTCTGCAGGTTCGGCATACTTCAGGACTGAGTTCAGATTTGCCCAGCCCAAGTTCGATATACTTCGTGCGTGCGTGGTGGATTACAACGAGGATGCGATTATGGCCACAATGAACACACTGGGTGATACCTACCGAGCTTGCAGGTCATGTGTTGATGCATCGTTTTCTTTGCCTTGGATTGGCAAGCTCAGTGGTCATCAGAGTCGCATCGCGCACGGTTTTTTATACAACAGCTTGGCGTCCATGCCCCTCACCTCGCTGAACGAAGAGCGCAAACATTTGCTCGGCCAGGAGATCAAACGGAAGAGAGGTCGCACAGTCGGGCCGTTCGAGCTCTCGGTCAGGACTTACAGGAAGTTCGTGAGGAACAAGATTTTCGCCAAGATGGCGGAGATCAGGAAGGACGTCTGCAGACGTCATGGGGTCAAGCCGATCCACCTCACGAGTATAATGAAGCGACTTGCTGGCAGAACAGGGCGGAGGCGCACCGCGAAGGAGGACGTGCCTTTCAAAGAGAGGCGCGTCAGGGCGACGTCGGCGTGGATGGCATTCACTGGCCTCAATCGGACGCCTGGCGTTCGACCAGGCACGGAGGAGCACAAGCGTGACATGAAGAGGCTCGGCGCCATTTGGCGGGGCATGGATGCAGCTGCGCGCGCAGTGTACCAGAACGTTGTCGACGAGAGCATCGCCAGGGAGAAGATCTCGCAGGCGACCGCTCTCCCGCTCCTTCACGAGGGGAGGGCGTTCCAGCGCCGCGTCCGACGACGCCGAGCTTCGGACGCCATCTCCTCGATCGAAAATCACAGGTGTACAGTGATGTAAATGTGTAAAGACGGCTGCGCCGATATGAATTCAATCAGTCTTGCCATTGCGTGAGCCCCGTGGAGTTTTCTGACTTAGGACCTAGGGGTTCCTCAGGGCAATCGAGCATTCTGGTACACGTCTTGGGTTTCAGTCTGAGTCAGCTCAGTCAGTCAGTCAGTCATCAACGCCTGAGGCCATCACCGCCCCCCCCCCCATCAGACGCTCACGCGAAGAATTCTAACTTGTGCGTTCCTGTGCTTACAAATCGTGCCCAAATCGGCTCTTCACGAGCCCTGGTGGCCAACGCTCGGTGTCTGCCTTTTCGGGGGTCATTCCGAAGGCTCGCGCAATTTGGAAAGGGCACCCCTCCCACGGCATCCGGAACCGTAACGCAGCATTGGCCAGGTGCGTGGACCCCCATAGACCCCCCCTCACTTAAGCCAGGTGCGTCACCAGCCAGTGCGCCGCGTGCTCTCAGGATCAGGGCTGCGTGTGCTTGTTCAAGGGGCTGGGGCCAGCGAAAGCACCAACGCAACAATAGTGACTGGCGTCGCAGCTTGCGATGGGGGGCCCAGGGACCAATATCTAGCGGGCCCAGCGGGATCCAGGAATCCAGGCACAGGCGCAGTCTAGTCTAGCTAACTTGGCGGATTTGGGAACAGTGCAAATGCAAGTAAAGTGGAGGTGGTATCCCTATTGGCATGAGGTTCGAGGTGTCAAGCTCGGGGTTGGTCAGGGGCTCACCCCCGTAGCCGCAGAACCAAATCCTTGGCCCTCTTCCCCACGTCGCACTCCTCCTCCTCCTCCTCCTCGTTCAGCCGCCCGCGTAGCCCAATGGCGTCCGTCCCATGCGGACCCTTTACTCCTGTTCCTGCCTCTCGTCTCCCCTTCCTCCTCCCTCTGCCCACTTCCTCCCACCTCCATTTTTCAGAGTCGCAACGTCGCGATGGCCTGAAGGGCCCACCATGCAAACGCGTCGTCATCCCCCCTCCACCCCGTGGGTGGTGGGGGGCTTGAATGCAACCAAGGCACATGTAACATAATAAGTAACAAGTGCATCGTAACACGTGGGGCTCCAAGGTTCTGGGAGAGTGGAGCTCGTCTGGATTGCCCTGGACTTGGTTTGAAGCCGTCGCTGGTTAACGTGCGTGACACAGATGTGGACATCGCGCGTGAAGCCCGCCGCCTATTCTCCTATGATCCTGAACCAGTGCCGAACGGAGTCTCGGTTGCTGCGGAGCAGGTGTGTTGCTTGTCTGGCTTGTGCCCGCAGGATTATTATTACGACTACGTGAGAGCAGGAGCTTCGCCAGCTAAAGGGGCCTCGGCGACAGGGCATCTTGCTGTCTCGCACCCTCCCCCCTGCTAACATTAACTGTGTGGTCCCTGGGGTTGGGTTTCCTTGAGAAGGCCTCGCGCCATGTCTCGGGCTACTGTAGTATGAAGATAGGCATGGTGGGTCCAACCGTAAGGTTTAGGAATCATCAAGCAGGCATGGTAGGGGGAGGGCGGACTGACGGAAATACACGACGAGGGTGCCACCTACTCTCACACCTTGCGCTGCTCTTCGCACGTGTCCAATAGGGTGATAACTGAACGCAACAATAAAATGGCGCGTCTTATGCTGAGTCCCAAAACAAAAGGGGGGAGCGAACGTGTTTAGGCACGGGGGGAGGGGGCTCGGCAGCAAGATGGCCGTCGTCGTGCCGCTCAGGGGCCAAGAACTTGCACGCCCACTTGGCCAGCAGGGGTGTAAAGCACGTAGCATTACCGTTGCATTTGCAGTTGGAGGCTGCTGGTGTCGAAGTAAATGTGGCCCTCACTTTCAAGTTTGGTGCAGGGGAGTTTTTCGCCGTCTCCAGGGTCAAGACGTTCCCAAGTGGTAACTGGGGGCTTGAACGACATTGCCAGGGGAAGCTCGTAACATTACCATTCCATCGCTTGCTGAGGGAATTCCTTTTGGAAGCTCGTGTAAACAATGATGGCCGCCCAGTTGTCCTTGCGAAGCTCACGGCCAGCAAATTGCTCAAAGCCCCCCGTGAAAATGACATCGAGTTTGCATATCGACTTGAGGAGTTCTTCAGCGTAGATTTGGATCTTGTCAAAACCCGCAAGGTTGGGACCAAAAAAGTTGACGAGCCCAAGCAGTGGATGCCATTTGGAATGAGCCTGGAAACAACAAGTCCTACCCTGCCACATGGTCCTGTTACTTGTCTTGCGGGTGGTCTTGGGCACGGGGGTGCGCCCGCCGCTGAAGTTGGAGTGGATGTCGAGTCCGATGCATCCGACCTTGGAGGCGAATCAATCCGTCCTGAGATGTCAGCGGCTGAGGCCACCGAGGGGTCGTCGTCTGAGCCTGAGCCCGATGATGAGCCAGGCGCCCCTCCTCCGCCTCCGCTGCCGCCGCCCCCTGCCCCCCCTGCGGGGCCCGAGGCCCCTAGACCGCACGGCGAAGCAGGCTTGATTGGATGCGGCAAAGCCCCCACCAATCGAGCCGTGTGCGGGGTCTGCGGAGAAGGGATTCCCAAGGGCATGTGGCGCGTGGAGCACCGCATGACAGATACTGCGAGTGCAGATACGATGTGGAGCGTCAGGCGAGTCCACCTGCATTGCGTTCCCTCTCTGCCTGAGCGCTTGAAGCGAGCTAACTTTTTGGTTGCCCAGGATTGGTCGAACAGGCCAGGGCTCGGAAGGGAAGAGCAGGAGTTCCTTGACGAGCTTGCAGATTTGCTCAGGGAGGGGCACCATGCAGCTGCATCCTCTGGAGGCTAGCATTTTTTCCCATATGATGGAGGCGGGAGGCAGAGGGGAGACGGGAGGGAGACAAGTGAAATCGTGGAGGGCCTCGATATTCTCAGACTTCTGTGCGACCCTCGGGCCAGGCGTCGGCACGGGGGGCCGTGTGCGCTGTTTATGGGCCAACTTGATTTGCACCGCTCAGCTGAGCGAATTTCAAGGGGTCCCAGGGAGTCCCACGGGGCCTGGCAGGCTCCTGAACAAGCTCCTGAACAAATTTTGTTCAGGAGATGCCTCCTGAACACTGTGTTTTTGGGGTTCCTGAACAAAATTTGTTCAGGAGCCCCCTCCTGAACACGCGTTTGTTCAGGAGCCTCGGTGGTGCATGGCTGATTTGCACGGCCTGCGGCGGGAGCTTGGGAGGTGCAAATCGAGTTGGTGTTCGCGTCACTGGTTGGTGCATTCGCGGCATTCGCGTAGCCTCTTAATTTGTTGGCGCCCGCCGTCTGCATGAAAATGTAAGCACGTTCTCGAAGTTACGTTCCCATTAGCCCCGCAGTCTAACATGGGCACGCTGCTTGCTACATCGCGGTGGTCGTGGGCGTAGGGGGTTCCAACGAGCCTGAATGTGAAGGGGGTAATTGGAAATAACTGTTGTACCGTGGTGAGGAGTCCGAGTAGGAGCCGCAGCCCCTAGGCCAGTTCCAGAGGCATATGGTTGGCTCAAGGCTCGAGGCTCTCGAGGCCGACATCTTTCCCGCGTTTGCAGTGTAACACATGGCTCCCAAGGCTCGGCGCCCGCCGCCGCTGACTGCGCCTCGCGTGCAAGCCATCATGGGGGTCTTGACTCCAGGCCAGCAGAGGTTCCTCACGAGGGTGCTCAGCAACAGCAGCCATGTGTTCCACAGGTTTCTGAGCCTCAAGCGCAGGTTCAACAAGATCAAGCGTCAGATTCAGAGGATCAGAGAGCTAGCGTACAACACCCTCGATGCCGATTCTCAGCTCAGCGACCAGCAGGAAGCGCTTGCGATTCAAGATGATGAGCCAGAGGAGAGCAGCTCACCCTCTTTCTGAGTAGATGCGTGATGCATCGCTCGGCTCAGCAGTCTCAGCCTGTGCAGTTTCTTGGCGTGCAGGCGTGCAGGCAGTGCAGTCGCGCCGCCACTTGCTCAGTCTCTCAGCCTGCTGCTCAGTTTCCTGGCCCAGCGGCCCGCAGCCTAGGCAACCTGCGCCGCGTCAGTTTCAGGATCATGTTGAACACAGTCCGCTCTTGAGCCACAGCGGGGAAATCGCAGGATCGACGGAGCTCCACTCACTCTCCGAGACTCTCTTAACTCTTAACTCCTCCTCCCCCTCCTCCTCCTCCTCCTCCTCCTCCGCCCCCCTCTTCCTCCTTCTTCTCCTCCTCCTCCTCCTCCTCAGGGCCTTTTCGTGTCAGCTGTGCGTCGCTTTGCCGAGGGCGCATCGGCGCATTGCCCTCCTCCTCCTGCTCTGCACTTGGTCGAAGAAACGGCTGCATGGTCCTTCGGGCTCTTTGGGCGAGTGGGGGAGTTAACGAACTCTTTCGAGATGTCTGCAAGCTGCAAACCTTAGGGCCATGGGCAACGGGAAACCGAGTCCCAGCATGAAAATTCAGAGCCTTTAAGAGCCTCAGGGATCTTAAGCGCCTCGACGTGGTCTCCTGTAACACCAAGTGCCCTTGGGGTCTCAGTGCGCGCGGGCCAGAAGGCCCTTGAGGCGAGGGGCAGTGGGCCCTGAGGGCCTCGAAAGAAAGAACGACAACTCTAGTAAACGTTCAGGGCCCCCGACGGCTCCAGGTCCTGTTCTGTAGCCATTTTGGCTCGAGGCATTTCTGGCGCTTGGGTGCGCTGGGCTCCTCGGTCCTCGAGTCTCCCCGAGCGACGGGCCGCCGTCGGCAGGCAGCCTGGCAGCTGGCAGCCTGGCGCCATCTTGCACGATGGGCAAGTCCGCGGCTGGTGGCAAGAAGGCCGTCGCCAAGCACAGCATCAAGAAGAAGGTCACCTGGGCAGAGGAGATCTTGGCAGCGCCGCCCAGGACTTGCGAGGCATGTAAGCAGACGTCCCAGGACATGGACAGGCACGGGGACGGGACGCGCCGCGTGAAGTGGAGCAAAGCCGAGAGGAGCCGCACCACGGGAGAGGTGTACCTGACAGGCAGCGAGTGCTACCTCTGCTTCGACATGCGCAGGCGCTTCTTCGACGGCTGCAGCTTCGAGACCTTGCAGGCGCAGAGGAAGGATTGCCCGTCTCTCGATGCTCGCTGCGAGGCGCTCAGGAAGGACAGGTGCACAAAGGCTGGGGAGTTCTCGCATCAAGAGAAGAAGCCAGTGGAGCAGTGGGTGGCCGAGCTGGAGTCTGAGTTCTGCGAGGCCTACGAAGAAGGTGCCTTCTACACTCTCCAGCAGTTCTGCAAGGCCCACAAGATCAAGTGCGTCGACGGCGACGCAGACGACACCTTGACGAGGAGGATTCGCAAGACGTGGCCCGACATTGAGATCTCTCGGGACGCACGTTTGAAATCGGTGGGTGTCTGGTACGTCAACGACCCGAACCCGAACAGGGGCAACTACAAGTTTCGCAGGGGCGTCAAGAGCGAGGTGCAGTTGCAGAAGCGACAGAAGCCCGTGGACGATGAGCTTGCAGCCGAGGCGATCGCCGACATCAAGAAGGCCAAGAGGATTCGAGGTATGGCCCCTGCCGCAGCTGGACATGTCGGCGGTCGCGCGCGGGACGTCGACTACGACGTCGCGATGCTCAGCGACGTGAGTTCCGACGACGGCGAGCAGCGCGCCCAGCTCCAGGACGAGGAGGACTCAGAGGAGGGGGAGGCTGCGTCTGCAATCTGCAGTGGTGGAGGTGCCGCTGGAGGCCGGGCTGCGTCGGCGGCGGCGACGCCGCGCTCGAAGTGCAGCTTGCCCCCGAGCAACACCGTCGAGCCGATCGATGAGGATGGCGAGTCCGACGGCGACTGCCGCCGCCCTCCACGCAGCGGGCGCCCTGAGGCACAAGCCTGGCGAAACCTCAACTACCTGTGGGAGTAGGGTGAGGGGGTATGGTGGTCTTCCGTCGTCTTCTCGTCCTCCGCGTGTCGGATTCCCTCCCCTCTTCCTTCCAGGGGCGGGATGACTGCGTGTTGAGGTTTCCGTGCTGGTCTTGCCAAGGGAAGGGGTGGGCCTCTCGACGGCCCGACCCTTGCCATAGATCAGCGTGGAGATGCACGCGCATTCATGCCGCCCCCGACGAAGCGAATGAGGATGAGGGATGAGGGAGAGAAGAAGATGTCGGAGGACCGCCATGCCCCCCCCGTCCCAGGGCAGGGTGAGTTTCGGCTGGCCCTTAGGTCGGCAGCGCCGCTGCTCGCAAGAAGGGCAAGCCCACGCCGCAGGAGTCCGCCACTCAGAGGTTTGAGAAGGTCATGGAGAGGGCTCGTGAGCACCATTCGGCAGAGAAGGAGTGGACGCAGCGCCCGAAGCGCAGGATCCACGATGCCACCGTCAACGCATTGGCCAAATCCGCCCGCGAGATGGCCAGGTTCACTGGAGACGATGATTTCTCAGCGAAGTCGGAACAAGCAGGGATGGTGATCAAGGAGATCTCGGCCAGGCGTATCTTCTTCGAGGAGATCAGGGGCAAGACCGTGGACGTGGCAAAGCGGACCATCACCAGCGCGGAGCACCAGGTTATGGTCGGTTGTTCTGTGAGCTTAAGGTCGCAGATCATCCAGCAAGCCTGCTTCACGCTAGCGACGAGCGAACCGCCACTCATGATCAAGTTTGCCATGTGCCCCCGGGCTCCTGCTCCCGAGGGCGATTCTCAACCAGTTGAGTGGCCTCGCGTCGAGACTCTGTGCCTCGGGCTGCTGTGGGAGACCGCGTCGTGCAAGGCTGACGCCATCATGGCGGACTCGCTGGCGGTGCGAACTCAGGCTGGCCTTGTGACCGACATGGTGGAGCGAATCGTCATCGAGAGTCCGAGCGAGGCGACGGTGCTGAAGAGGATTGCCGACGTCAAGGAGTACTTGGGCAAGGAGTTCCAGCCTTTCGACTTCAGCGTGTGTGACGACGCGCGGGAACCTTTCACGAAGGCCAGTCTCTTCGAGCAGCCCTACATGGACGTGTCCGCTCTCGTCGTCGCAGGCGACGTGTTGACGTGCATTCGTGAGGCGAAGCCTGTGGCAGGGGCTTTGCGCAAGATGTCCAGAATGATGCTCTCCAAGATCGACGCAGTTTCGACGCGTGTACGGAATCTAGCTACCGCTGCAGGGGTGAGGGCACTCTCGAACAGCAACGTCATGAAACTCGCGTGGGATCACCTGGTCGAGCTGCTCGCCTCTGATGGCAACCTCGCCAATGCAGATTGCGTGAAGGAGGCTGCGGCGGCTGCCAGCCAGTTCAAGGAGAAGGTCTTGAGTATCGCCACGGGCTTGAAGGAGCCCAGCGGCAAGAGCGAGGATGCCTACAACGCCGTCGTGGACGTTTGCCAGGAGGAGCAGCAAGATATCTCAATGAAATTTTGCGCCACGTGCATCGTGAATGCAGACCCGAGTGACTTCGAGGATACGGTCTACGCGGAGAACATGAACATGGCCAAGGTGGTGAACGCGTTCATGTGCAATACGTTGATGAGCTGGTTCAGCGTGGAGGATCTCCAGGCGAGCTGCCAACCTATTCACGTCGCTGCTCCCCCCCCCCCCCGTCCTGAAGGGATGGGCCCCCCAAGGGGGCCGCTAAATCTGGTCTTGAGGTCGACTGTCGGCTGACCGCTGGTCTTTCCGATGGGGTCCTCGGTCCGACTCGACTCTGCATCCCCCTCTTCCACCCTAATCGGGCGGCCTGGAATTTCGATGGGGTTCGGGCGGGAGGGAGGGGATGGAGGTCATGCGACTGACGTGATAGTTTGTCAGCTCGAGGGGAAACTATCACGCGCCCTGCACTGCGAGGTTGAGGATGACACGTGGGGCGAGCTCTACTGGGTTGGAAACGTCTTGGAGTACTGCGCCCACTTCGCGCCGAAGTCCCAGGCCCTCCAGAGCACGCGCAAGAAGATGATCCTCACGCACCACGTCAAGAGTCTGCTGATGGCGACTTCCACGGTCACGGAGGACTGCGCGACGGGGCTCAGGGAGTGGGTGAAGGCTCACTTGATGGACTCGGGCCTGAAGCCAGCTGCTGACCAGGAGGTGAACGACATCTTGGGCGACAGCTTCATGACCTTCTTGCACAAACTGAACCACGCTTGGGCTGGAGTCCAGGTGGCCACCCCCTTGATGTCCTACGTCCGACGCGTCGTGCACTCGCCGTTCTGTTCTGACGCATTCTTGTCCGTTGCGAAGGAGTTCGAGAGCAAAGTGCCTGATGGTGTGAAGGCGCTCTTGGTGTCAGCACGGAGCATGAAAGCCCTGGAGAGATCGTTCGGCTGGGTCAAAGACGGCAGACAGATCGGCATGATCGAATTGACGACCGCCCTCATGGACGCGAGCACCGTCACGAACGACGTTCGCGAGCTGGAGTCGTTCGGGAAGCATGAGAATGAGCTGATCAGGGTGTGGAGGCTTGCGCCCCGCGACCTCACCAAGCCCGACGTGGAGGAAGAAATCCAACAGTTCTTGGACAAGTGCAGCGGCTTGGAGGAAGCCTTGAACAAGTGGTCGTTCAAGGGGGAGCTCGCGTTTCTCACCTCGGACGGCAACGACTCGGCATGGGCGGCGATGATCAGACGTTTCGAGACGTTCATTGCCACGACGCCCACATCCGAGCGCATATGTGAGTTCCTGGTCTCCAACGTCTCCATGCTCAAGTGGGCTGACGACAAGGAGATGAGTGTGGTTCGGTCTCTCAGTGAGTACAGTGCGAATCGCTCGTCGCTTGCTTTGAAGCTTGGTAGTGCTTTGTCGGAGATGGTGCTGGCTAACTGCATCAATGCTGCGCCTGCGTGTGCTCTCCAGCGTTCGTTGGAGCTGACTGCGGGCATCCTGCCCAAGCGTTTCAATGCGAAGCTCCAGGATTTGAATCAGGCCTTGCAGGATCGGGTTGCAGCCGTCCTTGCCAGGCCGCCAGACACCAGCGGCGAGAAGTCTCACATCAGTGTTGGTGGTACCGACTTCTCGAGTATCGCAGGAGGCAGTGCTGGCCCGTCGAAGTCGACAGCTGCCCCTGCAAGCGACAGGCCGACCCTTAAGAAGAAGGGCTCGCAGGCGCTGCAATAGATCGGGGATTGGGAGTTCGGAGCTCGAGGGTTCTCAGATCACAGTCGAGAGGACGAGGATAGGAAGGAGGACGAGCGACCTACGAACAGCGACGACGATAGATGCGACAATGCGAACACCACCGACTCGGTGGCCAGGAGAGAGCTCTGCGGCTCCGCTCCCGTTTTTTTTTCTGGGGCGCCTGGGCCGCCCGTCTCGTTCGAGCTGAGCAGTTCGGAGGCTCGAGGCACTGGCCTGGGCGACGCTCGAGGGGTCCAGTGAGCACTTTGTGACAAGCCATTGCTGGCTGTCTTCTCAGCATCTTACCCGCCCCTCTCTCGCCCACTCTCCGCCCTTGATCCGCCCACCCGCCCATCCCTCACTCGCCCATTTCCTCCTTCCTCTCTCCCCCTCCTCCCCTGCCCGCCCCTCCCCTCCCCTCTTCTCCTTCCTCTCTCCTTCCCCTCTCCTCTCGTGCCTGCGCTGTCGCCGACGATGCCGCCGCAGTTTCCCTCGTCGTCGCTGTCGCCCTCCCCTCTTCTCCTTCCTCTCTCCTTCCTCTCTCCTGTCGTCCCTGCGCTGCCGCTGACGATGCCGCCGCAGTCGCCCTGGTCGTCGCTGTCGTCCCTCGTGAGCTAGGTTGGGGGTGGATGGGGCAAAGACGCCACGATGACAGCGAAGCTGGAGGAAACGGGGCAGACAGAGCAGGTACGAACGCGAACGAATAGTAGGACGAGACGTGAGATCGGGAGGCACACCAATATCAATAAAAACAGCAGGGTCAGACTACGACCCAAAGCGTCAACTGAATGAAGATGGGATGGCAGGTGGTGGGAGGATGGGAAGAGAGACGGGGGGGCGCCGAAGGAGAAGGAGGAGGATGATAATGGGAAGAGAGGAGAGGAGAGGGGAGGAAGGAGAGGAAAAGCGAGAAGAGGGGAGGAGGAGGAGGAGGGGGGAGGAGAGGAGTGGAGAGGAGAGGAGCGCCGTGCCCCTGTGCTTAATGTGCGTATAAGTTCTTGCACCAGGCAAGTTGCAGCCTTAGTCGATTGCTTCCGAGGGGCATGTGTGAATATCTACAAGTGCCCCAGGGTAAGATCCGACCTCGCTCTCCCCAAGCCCCCCCCCAGTACCCTTTACTGTTTTGTGGCAGCGCCCTATACAAGAGGAAGAGGAGGAGGAGGAGGAGGAGGAGGAGGAGGTGGAGGAGGAGGAGTAATACCAGGGGGACGAGGAGGCAGGATGTCGAAGGGGGGGGGAAAGCGAGAGGAATGACAACCAGTAGAGATAATGCCGCCCACTCGCGTCAGTACCCTTATCGAAAACTGCCTTCTGCAACTCTCTTCGTCACCTTCGCACATGTGAGCACCGACATCTTCACATGCCCATCCTGCACCACATACACACACGTCTAGTGTTATCTTGCTCATGCGTACCTGACGTCTTGCGTTGCCCTATAAGATGCATATGCGCCCATCCCCTTCCTATGCAATAGAGCTCGCCGATCGCAAAAGCTGCAAACGCTCCAATAACCCAATAGCCTTTCGGGAGAGAACCACGGCCCCTAATCAGCTTGAACGCGTTCCACTTCCCACCTGCATCCTCCTCCTTCTTCTGATATCGTGCTCGTGCCATGTACATGCAACTCACCCGGGCCCAACACATGATCACATGACAATTTTCAATGTCTGTGGTACCGTATAGATGCCCACATCAATATTGTAATTCCACCAACCCCTCTGGGCGGTAGTGGCCTAGATCGCATGTTTGTCCATCCCATCTCTTCTACTCCGTGGAGGGTTTTACCCCTTCCCCCACCCCATCCCCTGGGTCTGGATGAATGAGGGGGCGCGAGGCGTCACAAGGTCCTTTTCGGTTCACAATGACTCCAAGAGGGCCTGGGATATTCCAAGGTGGTTCAAGATTACCTACAACGTGCCTCCAATAAACCACACTGCCACCCCGAGGCGACTCCAAGTCGCCATGGAGCTTCCCAAAGAGTTCCCCGATATACCAACATCACTCAACCATCTGATGTGTCTTCAATGTGTGATGTCTTCTCGCCTCTTCGCTTTCCATGTGTCCGTGGGGCCTCCCGATTGCTCCAACATTGCCCAAGAGAGGCACCCAAAAGAGGTCCGAGACGGCCCCAGGAACGCTCCGACACCCTCCCAAAGAGGGCTCCGAGAGACGACTTTCCGTGCTCCAGAGGGAGCGGTGCGAATGCGCGCCGCCCTGTCTCAAAACTTCGTAAGTGCCACCATTGCGGCAAGATGCCCTAGACACCTTTGCGCATTTACGCGGCTGGGGGGCCGCGATGAGGAGGCCACGGTGCGAGGCCGCGAGGGGGGCCGCGACGGGGGGCCACGATGGCGGGCCCCGAGGGGAAGCCACGATGGGGGGGTCGCCGGTCGTCAGCGCGACCTGGAAGGCGTCAGCGAAAAGGCAAACCAACATTGAGTTTCTTCTGGTTGCAAGCCAAGTCTTGCCTCCTGGGGGGGCGACCCTAATTGAGGACCCGCCCTTCTTTGATCGATGGCCTCCACGACGGCCCCAAGACAGCCCGACGAGCTCCCAAAAGAGCTCCAAGAGGGCCCCAATAGGCACAGGCCCGAAGGCGGCCCCCAAGAGGCCTCCAAGAGGAAACCAAAACGCCCCAATAGGCTCTGAAGGCCACCGAGAGGCTCCATGACGTCCTACAAGACCTCCAAGAAACCCCCAAGGCGCCCAAGAAGCTCCTAAAAACCGCCATGAGGCCCCCAAAGCGCCCCAAGAAGACCCCGAATGACCTCGACACACATCCTTAGAAACTCCGAGCGGCATCCAAGAAGCCTCTGGCCCAAGGGGGGTCCCCGAACCCTCCACATGATAGGGCAGCCCCTCACGGCATCGTTCCTGGATGGGCTGGTGGGGATGCGCGAATCGTGAAGCATTTCTGGCAAACTTATGCGTTTCCTCACGCTGATCCCGAAATTCGGGTTGCTGGTTGCCCCCCCTCCTTATTCTGGTGGAACCAACGTACGTGGTCACCATGTCTGGATGGGGTTGGTGGGGATATTTTTTGTACGCGGGCGCGCGAAGCAAGTCGAACGCCGAGCGCGCTAGGGCGGGCCGCGCCGTAGCGAAGGAAAAAGCAGCGAAGCAAACTACGCCGCCACAGAGCGGAGCAGCGCGAAGCGCAGCCAAAATGGCGCGGGAGGCACCTCACAGGTATCGCGAGAACGCCCACAAGGATGCCGATGAGGACGCCAGCGTAGAATGAACTGGTGGGGATTTTTGGTCGGCGGCCGCGCGACAATGGTCTGGCGGCAACAGGCGTGTCCGGGACGGCGGAACAGGCAAATTCCACGCGAGGCGTGCAATGCACGTGCACTGAGCAAAATGCTCAGCATTCATTGGGACGCACCACTGGTGGGGATACGCGAGGCGTCAAGATTTATCCATCCAGTGTTGCTTTCGACGGTCAATTGGCAAACGCTTCGTACCTGTACACCACGCAATCAATACAACATTCGAGTGGTAATAATGGAGAGAGCGTGATCCACCGCCGCTTTACTGTGGAAAATTGCCAACCTTTTCCTCCGGAACCCGGGGGTCGCCCCCCCCCCCCCCTCCGAAAATCCCCCCCCCCCCCGCCTCGAACCCCTCCCCCCCCCCCCCCCCCTCCCCTCTCCCCCGGCAAAACCCCCCCCCTCCCCTAACCCCTCCCCCCCCCCCCTCCCGCTCGAAAACCGGGGGGTCACTACTGGTTCGAACCCCCGGCCCCCCCCCCTTCCCCCCCTCTGGATCCGGAAACCGGGGGGGTCACTACCGGTTCGAACCCCTCCCCCCCCCCTTACCCTTCGGATCGGAAAACCGGAGGGGTCACTACCAGTTCGAACCCCCCCCCCCCTCCCCCCCCTACTCACCGCCAGCAAACGACTCCCGGTCCCCACCACCGTCCGCATCACATCCCCCACTGGTGTTCCCAGCACCACTGTCCTCACCACCGCTGTCCCCACTGGTTCCACCACCGCCCCTACTGTCCCCACCAGTGGCCCCACCACTGTCGCACTGTCCCCGCTGTCCCCAGAACTGTTCCCACCACGGTTCCACTCTCCCCACTGTCTCCACGGCCCCAACCACTGCCCGACTATCCCCACTGTCCCCACTGTCTCACTGACTCCTCCGCTGTCCCACTGAGCTGTCCCACTGTTCCCACCACTGTCCCCACTGTCCCCACCACTGTCCCCACTGTACCTCTGTCCCATTGTCCCACCGCCGTCCTCGCCACCGCCTTCACCACTGTCCCCACCACCATTGTACCCTCCACTGTCCCACTGTTTCCACCTCATTCCCATTGTCCCCACACCACTGTCCCCACCACCACCGTCACCACCACTGTCCACTGTCCCCCCCTGTTCCCACCATTGTCCCCACCACTGTCCCCACCACTACCGTCCCCACCACTGTCCCACTGTCCCACTGTCCCCACCACTGTCCCGCTATCCCTTCACCACTGTCCCCACCAACACCGTCCCCACCACTGTCCGCACCCCCACTCGGTTTTCGAAGGGGGGGGGGGGTTCGAACTGCTATAGTGACCCCCCCCGGTTTTCGAGAGGGGGGGGGGGGAGGGGTTCGAACCGGTAGTGACCCCCCCCCCTTTTCATGATGAGCTTGGGGGGGGGGGGGAGGGGTTCGAACCGGTAGTGACCCCCCATTTTCCGGAGGGGGGGGGGGGAGGGGTTCGAACCGGTAGTGACCCCCCCCGGTTTGCCGCCAGCAGCGGTAGAACACGCTCTTTCTAATAATGGGAGACTAACGTTTTCGGGGCCTTCGCGACAGAAACGCAATGACGCCTACCACACACACACACATTGATAATTTGCTGCTTCGTCTTGAGAGCCAGCGTTGGCTTCGTTCACTTCCGAAACGTACAAAAGACGCGTACTTCGTGACCGTTGCCTGACTGCCTAACAGCCCATAGTTGTGTCAACACGCAATGGTTCATCAGAAAGGTGGCACGCATGCAAAAGAAAACCAAGAGTGCTAGATGCCATAAACTACAATTTCCAATGCGCACTGCCAATAATTCCTCTGGTACTTGTGCTACGGCGGATAGAAGAGTCCTGCATGAAACTATCGATCGAAGCGCTGGGGACTACGCACGCTGGTGACGTACCCTGCACCCTCAAATTCGATTTCGAATGCGTCGGCGGGGGCCTGTGCAATATCTCCACTGTTCGTACCAATCAACATTTGATGAAAAACGGCATTCCTTGTACGAAACTCTCGTTCCGTGTAACTGCCCATCTGAACTGGTTCCGACTATACTTTCCCGACTACTTCCTACTGTGCGGACTGGCAACCACGATTACTCCTCGACGCTCCGGTCAATCTGGCCTCTCACGAGGGCGACGACAAGCATCTCGGAGACCACGGACCAATAGCCCAGACATACCGCAACTCGAATAACCGAGTTCGACGGTCGAATTGGACCACGTGTGAGCCTGCACCAGGCCAGGGACGATGAAAGAAGACATCGGTGGGAGGCGAAGGAGGGCCGATAGGAATATGAGCAGCAAAGGCAGGATGATAAGGATGAGATAATACCATCGAGGAATGGGGGAAGGTGAGGGGGGTGACGAAGAAGAGGAACTCGCAGAACATATACGACTCAAACAAATAGCTTTGACTGTGTGACCTTCCGCTTATCTCACGGCAAGCTGCTGCGGAATACCGCGACGGTGCAGAGACTCTCGTGCGCCGCCAAGCTTCTCGCTCCCTTCTCCCTGCCGCCTCGTCGTCCTGTTTGTCGGCGCCAGGCCGAGAATGACAAATCTTCTTCTCACTTCCCCCGCCTCCCTCTTGTCCGCCCTGGCAGAATTGATTTCAGCCGTCACGCGGCCGTTGTCTGGGACACGGCCGGATTGCAGCGGTGTGCACCCTGCGAACTGCTTAAGAAATCATGGGTTAAGAAATTCATAGTCTCAGAATTTGGAGAAAAACCCAGAATGTCTAGTCAAATCTTAGGATCTACATTGAAACAGTAAGAATCATCGAGACTCTGGCCGAAAACTTGGGTTTGCTTAAGCATCGCCCAGAGTGTAATCTTGGGGGGGGGGGGGGGGGGGGGGGGGGGGGGCGCAGCTTGAAGTCGTTCAGCTGCAGGGCAGGTGTCCTCCGACGGACCCAGAAGAACAGCGCGTACATGGGCCTGCGGGCCTCCTGGCTGGCGCCTCCTCGTCCTGCTGGCTCCCTTTCTTGCAGTGCCGCTTCCCTCCTCGAGTCGCCTGGCTCCCTCCCTCCCTCCCTCCCTCCCTCCCTCCTCCCCTCCCCTCCTCCTCCTCCCTCCTCCTCCTCTCCTCCTCCTCCTCCTCCTCCTCCTCCTCCTCCTCCTCCACCTCCCCCCCTCCCCCTCCTCCTCCTCCTCTCCTCCTCCTCCTCCTCCTCCTCCTCCTCCTCCTCCTCCTCCTCCCCCTCCCCCTCCTCCTCCCCCTCCTCCTCCCTCCTCCTCCTCCTCCTCCTCTCCTCCTCCTCCGCCTCCTCCTCCTCCTCCTCCCCTCCTCCTCCCCTCCCCTCCTCCCCTCCTCCTCCCTCCTCCTCCTCCTCCTCCCCCCCCCTCCTCCTCCTCCTCTCCTCCTCCTCCTCCCCCTCCTCCCTCTCCCCCTCCTCCCCCTCCTCCTCCCTCCTCCTCCCCTCCTCCTCCTCCTCCTCCCTCTCCTCCTCCTCCTCCTCCTCCTCCCCCTAAATCCTGTCCTGGGCTCCTCCATCCGGTGCTTCGCAGGGACCACACACACATTCATTTTGTCCTCGGCGGCGAGGCCAGGGGGAATCAATGCGAGAAGGGGCGGGCCAGGCTCGGAAGGCTCGGACGTCCCCTGGTCTTCTGGAAAGTTGCCTACGCCTTCCCTTGAGCGACGGATTGCAAAACAAAAACCCTTGGACGAAGGATTGCAAAAAAAACCCTTCGTTTTGCAATCCTCCTCCTCCTCCTCCTCCTCCTCCTCCTCCTCCTCCTCCTCCTCCTCCTCCTCCTCCCCCTCCCCCTCCTCCCCCTCCTCCTAAATCCTGTCCTGGGTTCCTCCATCCGGTGCTTCTCGCAGGGACCACACGCATTCATTTTGTCCTTGGCGGCGAGGCCAGGGGGGAAATCCGCGAGAAGGGGCGGGCCAGGCTCGGAAGGCTCGGAGGTCCCCCTGGCCTTCCGAAAAGTTGCCTACGCCATCCCTCGAACGAAGGATTGCAAACAAAAAGCCCTTCGTTTTGCGATCCTTCGCCGAAGTTTTTTTTTTTTGTTTGCAATCCTTCGTTTTGCAATCCTTCGTTTAAGCCTGCCCCGAATGCGCAGAAAACTTGCCAGGCGCGAGGGCCGCTTGGGAGTCCCGCCGCCTTCTGAGAGGGCCTCCTCCTTCTCACTTCCCCCCTCGCTCGCCGTCGATCCTCCTCCTCCTCCTCCGCCTCCGCCTCCGCCTCCTCCTCCTCCTCCTCCTCCTCCTCCTCCTCCTCCTCCTCCTCCTCCTCCTCCTCCTCCTCCCCCCCCTCCCTCCTCCTCCTGCTCCTCCTCTATCCTGCGTTCCCCTTCCTCCTGCTCCTCCTCAGCTGCCGTGTCAGAGCTTTTAAGTATTCTGCCACCTCGGCGGTAAGGTGCAGCCCTGGGAGCCTGGTGGCTCCTCCTGGCCTTGAGCGGGGATCGATCTAAACAATATGTTTAGATGTTGGTCTTGTGTTTGTTGTCCCTCGTATTGTCTTATGCTGTTCCCATTCTACTTCAGGACCGCATCCCAGAAACAATTTCGAGCACCCAGAAAAGTGTCAAAAGAGTGTCGAAACAGTGTCGGGCGAGTGTCTCCCAGGGCCCGACATGTGAAAACCCTTGAGTTTCGGAACTTTTTTCTGCCGCTCGAAATTCTTCCTGGTGATCAAGGCTGAAGTAGGTTGGAGCATCATAAGTATTGTCTTTGCTGCAAGACGACATCGAAACGAAAACGGGCCACGAAATCGCCAAAACACCGTTTAGGTCCACCCCTGGCCTTCGGGTGCACTCCTGTTCGTAGCTTCAACGGACCCAGGACCCTGGCTTGGGGATGGACAGACGACAGACCTCCCTTTAGTAAAACGTGGTTTAGTGAAAACGACCTCGGGCCCAAACATGGCGGGCGCAAGCCTGGAAAATAACGGCCCCGGCGCCCGCTCGAGAACCGAAAACGGACAATTCACCAATCGACGTGTCAGGGTAGGAAGTCTGTCCACCCCCGACTGGCAACATTGGACGTGGACGACGCCAGGATCTCTTGCGATGTGGAGGTTCTGGAATCTGTGTCGGGTGCCGCGGCCGTGCCACAGCGCTCCGGAATGCTCCGAGAGCGTTTGGGGAACGCTCAGGAGCGCTGTTCGGGGGCGGCCGAGGAGGATGGCGCCCAAGAGGGGGGGGGGGGGGGGGGCAAATCATGGCCGGCGGCACGTGCGCGGCCCCGGCTGGGGGCCCGGGGCGTCATGAACTAAGAGGAGGCGCCCTGAGATCTGGGGAGCCATCATGGCCCCCGCCATGACGTCCCCCTCCCCCCCCCCCTTAGTCACCACCCCCCTCTTTGCCGCCCCCGAGCCGTGGAGCGACCTGCCTCGCTCCCGGGCGACGGCCGCTGTCATGTCGTGGTGTGGGGGCCGGGGCGCTCCCCATGCCCGGGGGGCGCCCGGCGGCAGGGCGCGAGAGGCAGCACGGCCCCGGCTTCGAAGGCCAGCAGGTGGGCGCGTCCGCACCTGCCTGGAGCTGGCCATCGCTCGGGCGTCCATTCCCTGTGTGCTGTTTGTTCGGTCTCGTGCGTGCTTTTTTTTCGCAGGATGATCCAGGATGTTCCGTAATCATACCCCCCGCCGAGAATACAGTCGAGGCGTTGACCTCAGGAACCCTAAATAAGGAACGAGGCCCCTTTTTCCCATGAGTTCAACCTCGATTTCCTATGGAAAAACCTCAGAAAACCCGAGGCAAATTTTGAACCAATCAAGGAACACCGAGCCCCTCCCCAACGAAAAGGGTTCCTTCTGTATAGGTGCACACGTCCGAGCGATACCAAGGGAGCGAGTGCGCTCCCCCATCCAAAGCCGTCCCCTCCCCCTGCTGCTGCGGCCTCTGCGCCTGCCGCTGGTCATCAGAGCGTGCTCTGCACGCGGACCGTGCCGCACACACGCTTGCCCAAGACACTCTACCCATCGGTCGTTGAAAGTAGGCATTTTTGGATTCCCAGATTCCAATCTACTTTCAGCGCCTTCCTACTTCAAGAGTCGAGTGGTTTTCCCTCTTCCTTCCTCTTCAGGAGGCGGGCGGAAACCCAATGTATTTCCAACGCCTTCCTACTTCATGTTTCTACCTACTTCTTCCGACCGATGGGCACTCCCTGGCCGCAGCTCCTTGCCCCTCTGGGAACCCGGGTCGCGCTGGGGGGATACCACCCTCGCGGTGCATGCTGGGGGTTCGGGCGCTGGGCAACGGTGCGTGTTGCCAAGGATTTGGCTTGCGGGGCGTCTGCTTTGCATCTGCTGGTTTCCTCCCTACGGCATGGCGCTGCCGGCGCTACCGGGACCTAGCAGGGTGCCAGAGGTCGATCCCAGCCTGTGCCTGCTACCCCTTTGGGCATGTGCCGCCGTTTCGATGGCAGATTTGCCAGGGGGCAGGTTGCCCGCGCCATGCTCGGCGGTTACGCTCTGCCTTGACGGCTGCACCTCCTTTTCCTCGTTCCCCTTCCTCGCCTATTCCCCCCCTCCTCGCCCTTGCGCAGGCTGGACGTTGGACGAAGGCACTGCGCGTGCCCTGCGACTGCAACACGGACACGCGATGCTAGACATCGAAACTGTCGATGGCTCGACTCCACGGGTGCCGCTAGGTGGAAGCGGCGCTTCGACTGCAGCTTCCGCCAGTGGCGTGGCACCCAGGGCTGCTCCAGCGCGTCGCGCCACGAACGCTGGAGCAGACGGGAGCGGCCCCCGAGGTCCTCGAGACTTGCCACGGCGCGATCCAGGGCGTGCGCTCTGGCACCAAATGCGCCGAGGCTCTCACCCACTGCGTGATCGACACCGTGGCCACGATGCACCCTACCCCTGGCACACCGCCCGTGGGTGGCCTGCCTGTCCCAGACAATGCGTGCGAGGGTCACGACGAGCTGTTCGAGAAGGAGCAGTAAGGACTGCATAGATGCATACGTGCGATCAGCTTGCCCAGCGGCAACTCGAGGTGGCATCGACGTCCATCATCACCATGTGCTCTAACATGAAAAGCACGGGGGCGGTAATCGGGGCTGCCGGTGCCCGAGATTACCACATCAAGGGCGTGTCTCAAGCGACCGATCTGGATGTAGACTTCGGCTGCGGACGGCTGGCACGATCGGCTCGACGACTGCGTGATAAGAAACACCAACACTTGTCAAGTAAGGAATAACTGTTTTGGAAAACAGACAGCCAACAGAACGTCACATCAAGCTTACAAAAGCGAAACGGCATTCTGACAGGGCTGCACGACCACGCACTGCACGGCGTGTTGCAAGCGACGATCCGCAAGGATGTGTGGGCACAAATCAGCACCCGGTACGCTGGATGAGGAACGCAGAATGGGATGGACAACGATGTGTGGCGACACTTGATTCAATCATCTTCTGCAGCTCCGAATGGGAATCGACTGGCCGACCATGACAACGATTGCTGCAGTGGGGCGCTGGCCCGAGGGAAGACAGGTGGCTCTCGCTGGAACGTGCACCTGTGGCAAGCTGTCCAGCGCATCGGCAGCGTGAGCGCAGTGCCAGCCAGGGCTCCAGAGTCTGGGAGGCATCCGAGGGATTCGTCTACCAGGCCACTGCCCAACTCCGTACGGCGGAGGCGTTCTGTTAGATGCTCATTCTGGGGACCTTCCTGGAGCCACTCGCTCCACTCGTGCGTCGAAGCTGCGTCGAACGTCAGTCGAGTTGGGTCGACCCTGAGTCGAACCCGAGTCGATCTTGAGTCGAACTTGAGTCGAACTGGGGTCGAACAGATCCTTTAGGTGGGCTCCAAGAAGGTCCCCGAAACGAGCATCGAAGTTCTGGGCCCGAGGCCCAATCCCAGAGAGCCCTCGACCAGGGCTTCCGAGCCTGCTGCTGGGCGACCAGTGCGCGGCGACGGGCGTGGATGAGCTCGAGGGCGGAGGCCTCGGGCGCGCCTCTCGCGACCGTGCGATCCTCAGCGCCGGGG